TAGTAAAAGAATATATATATATATGTATATATATATATATAGGATAGTAAAAGAAGTTTTTTCTGCCACATGTTACTTGCACCTAGAATAGCGTAGAAATCAGATAATCAAATTAATTATAGGTGAAGGGCAAAGATGCAAAAAACAGCTTTGCGTTACATTCTCATGCTGCACTATCGGGAGAAAATAAGCTGGAAGCGTATAAGGTTTAAGTAACTCTGTACCTGTAGAATAACCGATGAAAGCGAAGTTTCCACAAGGTGAAAGTGAGATTGCAGTGGCTATGGCTTTAGCTAACGTAGCATCTTTAATAAACCGCTCATGTACCAACTAAATTTAGAAGTGATTACCGAGTCACTATGAAAATATTATGAAAATTTTTGTTATGGTGTCCCTGACTTTATGCGTTCCCAAAGAATTTTTTCTGGTAGTCCAAGTGGTGACGAGGAGTGTATCCCTACAAAGTTTTTTTTTCGATATTGGTGAAATGACTACTAAATACTCACTTATGTCTGCACAAAACATTGTCCCAAGCGGCTTCTCTACTCCAGCCAATCGCCATATCGATAACTGGGTCCATCTTGATGGTTTCTATTGGAATATGCCTCTTCTTTGCTTGTGACCTTGAATCAATACGTAAATTTATGGTTTCAAAAAAATCACCACGACAAATGCACCTAGAGATTGTTCCAGCGCTTCCTAGTTTTTGCCTCATTGTTTCAACATTGACCATGTATTTGCGCACGGATCCGTCATGACCGGAGGAAAGTATCTTAAAAAGTTCAGAAAAAGTGTCACCATTTCAAATTATCAGCGGCTCTGCCATCATACTTCTTGTTTTCCGTTGAATTGCACAGCGGTCACACCTTCTGCATGTCCCTCTAGAATTACGAGTAGACGAGGCATTCCATCCGCACCGTCAAGTACCCAAGTACGGAGAGAGTTATCGGCAGATGCAGAAACCTAGCATAAAATTGGAGATGCACGCTGTAGCAGTTAGGAAAGGAGCTCTTTACCATAACTGGTTCGCCAGGCATAAAGTACAATTTCGTTACTGCTGCATGATGGCCATTTGCGATTTTGCCCATTATATGGCGTTTCTCTAGATCCCACATAACTATATCACCACCGATGTCAGCGGTTGTCATAAAAGATTTGCCGCCATTGCTAGAAGTTTCTAAGATCAAACACTATTCAAGGAGTCTATTTAAATAAAGTGGTACCTGAACCCTACAGCTGAGATCGCCTTTTCATGGCGGAATTTGCATATAGTCTCATCAACGCGAACGTTATGCAAAAATATTTGACCATCAGCTAGTCCAATAGCCACAACATCAACGGCAGGAGACTGTTCAAGCACAGTGATTTTTGAGTCAAATCCTAAAGTTGGATCTAATCAACTAACAAATAAAACCCGATCCTCGACATAACAAAAGCTTCCTATGGGAAGAATGATCAAATAAAAATAAAGTGAAAGGTTCCACAGGAAGAAATGGTTGCTTATTATGATTTTAGCAAAGCTATAAAGGTCATAAATTGAGAAACTAACTAGTCGTCGCTCATCCCCCACCTATGCGATTGTCCTTTGAATTTACCTGTTGAAAAAGTTGAGCTGACTGAAAGGGATTTGTTTTGCAAAACTATAGGAGCAATAGCGCATATTGGAACAATCTTTTCCCCGAAACTGTTTCCATTTTTGGAGACCTTTTTTCAATGTAATTTTCGTTCCGGATGCTGCATTGTTGTAATAGCAGGTTCTCTTTACAAAAAACCTTTCTTCAATCAATTTAATTGCATAATAGCTGGTTAATTAGATTGGAATGATAAGACGCTCATAGAGGCGGGAGTGAATGTACAAGATGGAAGAATAAACAAATCACAAAACGACACAAATTACATTTTGGGGGGAAAGAGTAAAAGAAATTTTATGGTACCGATAGGAAACATACCTTTTGAAAACTCGTGAATGACACGACCAGTTCGAAAGTTAACTAGACGTAACGTCCCTATGGAAGAACCAATGAGAATCTAAATTGAAAATGTAAATTTGCTACATATCGAAATTTCGAGACTCAGTAAGACGAAAAGAAGCAATTAGTTCAACTATCCATATGTCTCCTTATTTCGCGATATGTCTCGACATTTGCTTTATGCCCTTTCCTACGCAGCTAAATGTTCTCAATGGAACACTTAATTTCAAAGCGCTAGTTTGGGATAAGGCCGTTTTCAAAGGCCAAGCGTCGTGCGACCGAAATAAAAGCTATTCCGCTTGCGTAGAACGGGTGTGATAGATAACGTTGCAAAATGAAGCCCCAAGATGTTCTCGCGCTAACAAGCTGTAACAGTACATAGAGAATTAAGGCACAACTAGAACTTACCTTGTATAAGTATGTGCTTGGGTGCACAACAGATGTTATGTGGAACTCCTTCGAACCTTGCATGTGTAGAATTTGTTGACCATCAGGAATATCAATGACCCTTATTCCATTTTCTTCATCAATTATAACCTAAGCAAGAATGGTGATTTCATTCAAAGGTGTTTCCTTATACCTGCATCTCTACTAAAGATGAGAGCATCGATGTAATGACGTAAATTTTTGTATGCTGAAATAGTGCCAAGATACTCACCAAATTGTCCCCCAATATCTCTAAAAATTTAGTCTTTGCGCCTACGCTGATATATCTGCTGATGTGACGGCAAGTCTTCAATACAGCTATTGAAGTGCCGGCAGCAGCGTAAATCCCACTAAAAAATTGAGAACAATTCATAGAAACATACCTATGAAAGGTGGATCTCACCTTCGGTCCGCTGCAACGGCAGTAATGGTATCTGGGAGCACATCCGATGTTCCTATGAGCCTCAACTTTTCGGCCTTGTAATGCATAAGAACATTGTCCACAGGGCATATTATTGAAGTCAACATAAAATAAAATATTCAAGAATAAAAAACCTTAATCCAAGACTTTCTGTCAAATTTTAAGATACCTGGTTTTAGATTCATTAGGTCTGATCACTGGTCTAACATCAGAACATACCACCCCTATGGAGCGATACGGAGCAAATAATGTAGAATCAGCTCGACGCATTCAATTCGGAAAAAAAA